GATTTACCTAGTTAAATAAAGGTTAGTAAATAAACAACAAAAAAAGGTTAAATCATGTCATCTGGACCAGTTTCTTTAAGTCGGAAATGTTCCGTACCCCAAGCAGAGGACAGATCTGTCTCATAGGTAGCCTTCAGTGCTGTGTTTCAAGCCAACCCCCTGTTGGAATTTCAGAAGTAGGCTTTTAGTTAGTAAATAAATAATTAAACATCTTTAACTATCTGTCTATCTTTATGCTGTGCAAGAGGCGAGGTACATCCTGCGCAGGTTGCAAGTGCATCACAGCAACTCGTTGGGGCAAATGCGACAAACAACCATTCACATTCTCAATCACACATAGGACCAATTAAGTTACCACATGCATGTTTGTGGTCAGTAGGAAGAAAGTGGCGCACCTGGAGGAAAACCACATATGAGCAGGAAGAACATACAAATACTACCCAGAAAGGTCCCAGGACAGGATTGGATTCTGTGAACATTTTGCTAGGATGCGACCGTTCTAACCAATGCCCATTTGTGCTGCTGGACTGCCCATGACTTATTTCCAAACCATTTACTCATGTATTTGCTCAGTAAAAATCTGTATTTCACTATAATCTACACTATAGATTACAGATTCAGGGTTCAATGTTTGGACCAATACTCTTTAGTTTGTATACAGTATACTTCCATTAGATAATGTTATTAAACAGCATGGGACAAATTTTCATTGTTATGTTGATGATACTCAGGTAAATTTGTCCATGAAACCCAATGAATCCAATCAGCTACTTAGCATTTCGTAAAGACATAAAAATCTGGATGACCCTAAAATTTCTGCTTTTAAACACAGACAAGTCTGAGGTTTTAGTTTTTGTACCTGAGCATCTCAGGAATATTTTTTTCAGTCTTTCTCCCTCCTTGGATGGCATTAATCTGTCCTCCAGCTCTAATGTTAAAAATCTTGGTGTTATTTTTGATCAGGACATGTCTTTTATCCCCCACATTAAAAACGTTACTAGAACTGCCTTCTTCCACCTGCGTAATATCACAAAAATTAGAAACATCTTATCTAAAATGATGCAGAAAAACTGGTTCATCCATTTGTCACGTCTAGACTGGACTATTGCAATGATTTATTATCTGGATGTACAAATACTTCTTTAAAACGTCTTCAGTTGATCCAAAATGCTGCTGCCAGAGTCTTAACTGGAGTTAGTAGGAAAGATCATATTTCTCCAGTTTTAGTTTCTCTCCATTGGCTCCCTGTCAAATCCAGAATAGAATTCAAAATCCTAGTTCTAACCTACAAAGCTCTCAACAACCTAGCTCCATCTTATATTCATGACTTTATTGTTTCATATTTTCCCAACAGAGTACTTCACTCTCAGACTGCAGGTTTACTTGTGGTTCCTAGAGTTTCCAAAAGCAGAATGGGAGGAAGATCTTTCAGTTATCAGGCTCCTCTCTTGTGGAACCAACTTCCAGTTTGTGTCCGTGAGGCTGACACATTATCCAGTTTTAAAACTGGGATTAAGACTTTCCTTTATGATAAATCCTATAGTTAGGGTTGGCTTGTTATTCTGCTATAGGTTTAGACTACTAGAGGACAAACTGACCACATTTCCTTAAATGAATTGTTAAAAATGAATAGTTTCATTTGATACTATTTCTATCTTAACATGTGATTCTTGACCTGCCATTGTGTATCTGTTCCTCCTTCCTGTGCCTCTCAAACCCAGCCGGTCGAAGCAGATGGCGCTTGTCCTGAGTAAAAGGTCAAGATCAAGGTTTTTTTATTTATCATTCGCACAACATGTGGTACATGTGGTGGAACAAACTTGTGTACATAAATTGTAAAGAAAAACAGTAATAAGATCTAAGATATGAACTATGAAATACCTTAACTAAAAATACTGCTAAACACTAAATAGTGCAAAAGAATATGGCGAACAACGGCAGCATGAACATGAGTCTGTGTGAGCAGATGAGTACGAATGAACACAGCAGCCTGAAACAAATCAGCAGCATATCAATAATCAAGTGGCATTACAGTGATTTTTTTTCACAGTGATTATTCATAAGTCTAACAGCCTCAGGGTAGAAGCTGTTCCTCAGTCTAGTGGTTCTACACTTAATGCTCCTCAACCTCCTTCCTGAGGGGAGTGGGGCAAAAAGTGTGTGTGCTGGGTGAGTGGGGTCCTTCATGATGCAGGTGGCCCTCTTTCTGCATCTGGAGGTGTAGATGTCTGTGATGGTGGGGAGACTGACTCCAACAGTCTTCTGTGCAGCCTTCACCACTCTCTGCAAAGCTTTTCTTTCTGCAGCTGTGCAGCCTCCATGCCACACGTTGATGCTGGAGCACAGGATGCTCTCCACTGCACACCTGTAGAAGGAGGTGAGGACTGAGCTTCTTAGACCAGCTCGCCTCAGCCGTCTGAGGAAGTAGAGTCTCTGATGAGCTTTCTTGATCAGGCTGGTGGTGTTGTTGCTCCAGTTGAGGCTATCATTCAGGTGTTCACCCAAATACGTGTAGCTGGAGACCACTTCCACCGCAGATCCTCTTATGTTCAGGGGGGTATAGGTGTGTTTGTTCCTTTTGGAGTCCACAATCATCTCCTCTGTCTTCTTCACATTGATGTGAAGGTTATTCTCTCTGCACCAGCTCTCCAGCTGTTCCACCTCTTGTCTGTAGCTGAACTCATTGTTTGTGATGCATCCCACCACCTCTGGATCATCTGCAAACTTTACAATGTGACAGCCTGGATGGGTAGCTGCACAGTCATATGTGAGCAGAGTGAACAGGAGGGGGCTCAACACACATCCCTGAGGAGAGCCAGTTCTGAGGGTTATGGTGGTGGAGGAGAAGTAGTGGATCCTCACTGACTGTGGTCTGTATGTTAAGAAGTCTAGTACCCAATTGCAAATGGAGGGGTTTAGTCCTATTGTAAATAGTTTGTCCATCAGGGTTTGGGGTATCATGGTGTTGAAGGCAGACGTCAAGTCCACAAAGAGCATACGGATGTAGGAGTCCTTCTGCTTCAGGTGGTTGAGTGCAGTGTGAACCACAGAGGAGATGGCATCCTCTGTTGATCGTTCTTGTGGTATGTGTACTGAAGAGGGTCCTTGTTGATGTTGATGGTTGTTTGGATGTGGGTCATGACCAGTTTTTCGAAGCATTTAGCAACTATCGGGGTGAGGACCACTGGCCAATAGTCATTCAGACCAGTCACTGTAGAGTTCTTTGGGACTGGGATGATGGTGGTGGTCTTCAGACAGGTGGGAACTGTTGCCAGTGTAAGGGAGGAGTTAAATATGTTAGCCAGCATGTCTGGTCTCTGGTCTCTGGTTCTGGACTGGTCTCTGGAGTGGTTCTGCTAAAGGGTTCTTCCTCATGAGTGAGTTTTTCCTTTCCACTGTCACCTTCATGCTTACTCAAGATGATAGTTCTGCAATGGAGTTAAACTCAAAGCAGTCTTCTTCTCAGATAAATAATGTTATTAACTGACTTTTTATTTATATATTAATGTTTCTGTTCAGTGTCCTGAGGTGACTCCTGTTGTGACTTGGCACTATATAAATAAACTGAATTGAAATACATCCTGTAACCTAACTGTACTCTGTCTCTTTTGTGCTCATCAAACAAAACACGAACATCTAATGTGAGCTTTTTTATTCCATCCGTCCATCCATCCATCCATCCATCCATTCATCCATCCATCCATTCATCCATCCATGCATTATCTTTTGTCCGCTTCTTCCTTTTCATGTCATAGGGGTCACTGGTGCCCGTGTCCAGCCATCACTGTGCGAGAGGAAGGGGACACCCTGGACAGGTCTCCAATCCATCACAGAGACACATAGAGACAAACAACCATTCATTCACTCTCTCTCACCTAGGGACAATTTAGAGTTACCAACCAGTCTAGCATGCATAGTTTTGGTCTGGGAGGAAACTGGAGTACCAGAAAAAACCCACACATGCACGGAGAGAACATGCACACTCCCCCCAGAAAGGCCCCCATGCAGTCGGGATTCATTCCGGCGACTTTCTCACTGAGAGGCAGCAGCTCTACCCACTGCACCACCATGCCGCCCGCTGTTTTTATTATTTGTTTTATTTGTGATCGTGGCTAGCTTATAGTCGAGTTATTTTCACTTTTATGTTTTGCAGTCAATTGTGTTTTTCACATGATCTTATCATTGATCATTCTTCTTTGTTCTGTTTCCAATTCTGTTTGTTGGTTTAATTATCACTCGCCTCCGATAGCACAAGGGAGAAATGTTTTTTTATCTTGTCTGTGTGTGTTTGTTTGCCTGTAGCGTTAGTAAAATATCTCGTGAGCCACTGATTACATTTTGGAGTCAGCTCTGATCAAGATGTCTGCCACAGCTATTAGCAAACAGAAGAATGGCTCTAACTCTGTCAGATTTACATATATTGAGTGTAAATGTAGTGTGTTTCTAACTCACTACACATTGGGCAACATCTATGAACACAACTGTGGCATAAACTGTTGGAGTTGGAGACTGTCTGTTAACAAAATATCTCATGAACCACTGAACAAATGTGGGTAAAACAGAATAAAGTTTGGATGTACGTCCACAATTGGATAATTTTGGGATTCAATCGGATTCAAGAGTGTATTGGGTTAGATTAGAACAGATTACTTGTAAATATAATTTTAATAATGTTATGAAAGTAATGATAAGCTTCAAAGTGGAGATGGTTAATTTATATGAACGATGATTTAAAATATATCGTTAGTTTTTTTTGAGTATTTTGTGTCATCAGTTATAATCAAACTGAAAATCAGATGTAAGGCAACACACGAGAGACATTTGAGAAGTTTCAAGTTGTTTTGAAGTTAGAAATCAGCTGCTGCGGTGTTTTCATGTCCATGAGTAATTTGTAAAACTCCTGTTTCTGAGTCCACGCACGCAAACATTTCCTTCCTGCTGTCAGTTTGGCTCTGACCGCTTCGCTCTTCTCCTGTGACGTCACTGGCGCGGCCGCTCCAGCCCAAGCGCGCGCGCACAGACGCAGCTCGCGCACTGACGTTCTGCCGACTTCCCTGCTGGTTGACACGGCGGCGCGAGAGGCAGCAGGAGGAACCCCAACAGAAAGGTAACAACCCGAATGAAGTCTGTGAAGACTACCTGTCTGAGTGTCGCGCGTGGCCCTTTAGTTTGGTCCGAGCTCGTGCGCTCTGTCACTGTAACGGACGGCTTTTGTTTGTTGCTATAAAAATTAATACTTCAGCATCTAAAATCAATAAATATATCTGAGTCTAATTAACATCAGCAGCTCCACTCAGAACACAACAACTTGTTTAAATCACATTTAATAGAGCTTCATGCTGTTTTAAATTTAATTATTGTTTGTTTGTTGTTATTGACACGATTTTGACCCTTTCAAGCAGCACAGCTTTACTAACCCTACAAAAAGCCATTTCTCTCTGTCAGCATTTAGGGACAAAGTGATCAATTATTAATTTATAAAAACATATATTAAAGGGCACAGCTTTTGTTTCAATGAAGTTGGGTCCGGGCTTATTATAAGCTGACAAATGAAGCTGTTGTTTTTCATTAATAAAGGAAACAAATTTATATGTTTCTTGTTAATAAATGCCACGAAAACAATTGGGTTTTTTTTTGTTCTTTCTAACCTGTGGCCAGCTGGTAATAAAGCTCAGAAAGTAATCACTGGATATGCTTCTACAACTCATTAACTTGAGTGCTATTCAAGATGGCTGCCAAGGCAAACTGATCTTAGTAGACACATAAATGTGTATTATATTAATGTGTACAAAATGGACTTTAACTCTGCCATTTTTTCAAAAATTGGATGTAGAGCTGATGAGGGTCAGTCACACATGAGATGAAATGTTTATGATTTATTTCAGTCTTGGTTCACCGCACTCAGACAGGAGTGACGGTCATTATTGACTGCCTTTGCTTTTCAGTAGCTTGAGATAAAAAGGATGTAAACATGAACACAAATTGTAACATTAGCCTCCACAATCCTAAACAAAGCACAGAACTGTGTTGAAGCATGAAGCTCATTGATCCCATAATCATAAAATCCATTCACAGCGTGATTTTAACTTTAATGCCTTTGGTTTTAAGAAAAAAATCAAACTGTTTAACTTTCGGACAAGTTTCACAAGTGAAGAATTTCTTTAACACAGCTTTCCTTTTTGAAGTCAGATCCAGAGGAGAGCGAGGAGAAGACAAGAGGCAGGATTTGTGAGAAAACCATCTTCGTTAGTTCAGAAGGCCGTAGAAGGAGCTGAGAGGATCTCCTCAGTTGGGATATTTCTGCAGGAGGTGAGGGTTACGGAGCCGTGACTGACCTGCTGCCATGCACCGCTTAAGGACTACTGTTACACGGCTACGGCCTTTACCTGTTGCACACACGACCCAGAGCCCGTCTCAGACCAGACTGTTGGTACCTAAAAGACTCCTCAGCACATCTCAGGTTGTGAGGCACCTGAATGCACCTGTGGCCGCTGAGCCCTTCCTGAACGGCACCAGCTCCAACTACGTGGAGGAGATGTACCACACGTGGCTGGAGAATCCCAGCAAGGTTCACAAGGTAATCTGGTGTGTGTGTGTGGGGTGTGTGTGTGTGTGTGTGTGTGTGTGTGTGTGTGTGTGTGCGTGCGTGCGTGCGTGCGTGCGTGCGTGCGTGCGTGCGTGCGTGCGTGCGTGCGTGCGTGCGTGCGTGCGTGCACAAAACTGATCCCGGCTACATGGATGAATGCAGACCGCCCAGGTGGACAATAATGGTCGTAATATTTTGGTTTACAAGCTGCTTCAACTTCTTGTCTTCAAATCTGTAATAACTTTGTGCAGCTCGTAGAGTTTTCTGCTTAAATGACTTTTTAACAACGATTTTAATAACTATCCCGAAAGGGACAATTATTTTTTTTTTTGCCTCTGTCTGTGTATGTTTGTCTATCTGTTAGCAAAATATCTCATAAATCACTGGAAAGATTTTAATGAAACTCAGAAGGAGATAAATTCACAACTTTTGAAGTCACCCAATTCAAGATGGCTGCCACAGCTAATCATCTTTAGCTAACACAGAAACGTCTCTAACACTGTGGTTAATACAGACACAGAGCTTGAATTTGATGCAGTAGTAGCTGAGAGTCATGTTTGCCACATTCCCTGAGCGCTGTCACATTTTGCGAGAGGGAAATCTTGCGTGAGATGCTCATTTGCAAAGTTTCACAAATCTGGCAATAACTCAACATAAAACATTTTTCTGTTTAAATTTCTGTCACCAAAGACAGCGGGTGACATGCATTCGTTCACGTAATGATGGGCCGTCAGGTGCTGAATATGTTTGGAGACTTGCAGCATTCAGAATCTAATGGTAGTATTTCGTCTTGCGTTGTTTGTCAGACTTTACTAACTTTACCTGTGGATTAACAACAGGAGTGCACCTGTAGGAAACAAGTGGAGGTTTCTGTAGAGACACTGCCTTAAAAGCTAAAATGAGTGCATACAAGTCTGAAACAAGTGTCTAATTCCAAATTATATTCCCACTAACCCCCTGTACCTGTTCACCTCTGCACATTTAGTGCACATGCAGTCCAAACCCTCTGCTCTGGTTGTGTACTCTCAGTGGCCCTTCACCCATTTCATGCAGGTTTGAACAGACCGAGCTGAAATGTCACATCCCTTTCCCAAATTTAGTGGGTTTAAGTTGACAAACCTTCTCAGCCAAAAAGCTGATGAAGATCAATAAGTGGGTTCACTTGCACACTTTCCCTCTGTGAACTTGTCTATCTGAAAAAAGTTCAAGCAACAAGTTTTTAGATAAAGAACTGAACATGCACTTTTCGTTTAAAGGGCATTTGATGGCAGTGACCTGCATGTGTTTTCAGATAACAGTAATAATGTTTGATGTGATACAAACCTGTTGTAAATATGTAATATTATGTACCAACTGGTATAAACTAATATTTACTGCAGAGGAAGATACTCTGACCTTAGAAGCATTTCATATTAATATGAACAGTAGGGTTTATATATATTTACAGGCTAAATGTATCAGTGATTGTGCTGCAGTGCTTGAAAGATGACACGCAAAGGAAGGTTTTTTTTATTCCTTTTCAACTGGTCAAGATAAAGTTGTCCAAAAATGTGGTTCATCTGAAAACTAATGAACTTTCCATCAAGCTATGTACATAACTCTCATCTTGCTGATTTCTCCTTTTCGTTTCATAACGTTGTGATTAAAATGATTAAATCCCATTTAATCTATTTAATTTATTGACTTCATTGACAAATATTGAGTTTTTTATGTAAACAGACATCACAGCCTGTCATTTAACAGGTCCCTGTTTGTCTATTAATAAAGAGCTGAATGATGATTGAAGGAAGGAATTCTTTAAATGACAATGTATTACTTTTTAAATAAATAAAGGCCAAGCCAATGTTAAGATATTTTTAATCTAGACTGGTCCTACGGTTTTGATCTGCTCAAAGACGGGATTATAATGAAATTATGACCCGGTTCTGACTGAGTTAAACTGGGCCAGCAACTCTAAAAAGAGTCTCCCTGGGATTTTCAATATCAGTCAAGAAATAGTTTAATCGGCTTGCCACATGACGTAGAAAGGCTTTTGAAGCACTGTCTCATATTTTCCTAACACGTCAGAACCACATAAGATCACTGAGATCACACTTAGCCACACCCCCTAATACACAGATAGGTTGAGCTCCCCTTCTGTGAAGGTGGAGCCTTAGGACCCTATAAATTAGTAATGACATGGGAATTCGAGGCTCTTCTCCCGGGTCTGTGAACGCGTAACAGACTGTAGAGTCCAACGCTGTAAAATTGTAATCTTTTCCTGCCTTTTCTAATAAAATTGATAAAACTTAATTGACGTTTCCTTGATTTATTGATTAGTATAGATGCCACTTCTGAGGGAGGTTCGAGCCGGGGGTAAAGACGTGGGCTGGAGGGGGTTTCCAGATCTGGTGGTCCGCAGCCAGCTCCCATCTTTAACACCAATGATCACCTATTGCTTACTGCCTTGCCTACCATACCATACCATCCCACACCACACCACACCACACCACACCATACCATAACATACCATACCATACCATACCATACTATTCATTCAACCTTTATTTAGACAGGTAAATCCCACTGAGCATCGAGGACTCATTTACAAGAGAGACCTGATTACCATACCA